GACGCTAATGATGCTAACTATGCTAATAACACAGCAAGCTCTCAGAAAACAGACCATAGACTGTTATTATTACAGAGGGCTGGACAGTGAATAGAGAAAAAGACCTTATGTGAATAGAAATGTATAATGATCTATTTTATTCTAACTTCCACAAACTATGAACCATGGTTTAAAGATTTGCAGCTACCTATAGAAATGAGAAACCTGCTGATTCATACTACTGCTGTGCCAAATATTGGGTTTTTTGATAACAATTCATTAAACATCTGTTTATTGACAGCATTGAATTGAATCAAATTTTGCATCAAATGTGAGTGTGAAATATAACACTACGTTTTCAATTAAAAAACACTTTTCAGCGTTGATAAGAGTATTCAAATATTTCAAGGGACATAAAGAATAGATACAAATGTGCAATTAATCGTGAGGTAACTATGACATTCATGCGATTAATTGTGTGTGTGTGCGCGGGTGTGTGTGTGAACGTGTGTCTGTGTATGTGTGTGTGTGGGTGTGTGTGCTTCTAAAAACTGAGGTACCTACTTTATCATAAATATTCCATGTACTGTTTGTTTGTCCCAACAGAAAGAGCCTTGTAAAAGTCAGGCCACAATATGCAGTTTTCATCTTGGCTGTTATTTACATATGGCGGGATGAATAAAGTAGATACAGTTGCTTTATGGCACATTACACATGATGGTGTGTGTGTGTGTGTGAGTGTGTGTGTGTGTGATCATTGACTATCCGGGGTCTGGACCTCATAAAACCTGATTGACCCATAATGAATATTGAAGCAGAGTCCAGAGGGAGTCCGTTGTTAGCAGTGAGTATTGACCCCAGTTAACTGCAACTAATAAGACCATTCTAATGTCCTGCAACCAGAGGAGCACTTCACACGTTCTCTTCAAAAACAACTGGAAAACGTTGCTTAAAAGTAGCTGGAATCTTTGCCTAGCTGAAGCCCTGTAGTTTAGGCCTCTTGCTCCAATTATAAGTGGGGAAGGTCGCTGCAAAGAGAGAGATCAAACGCTATAGTTTTTGTTTCTAGCCTCTGCCATATTCCGGTTTTTTAGACAGAAAAGTGACAAAGAAATCAGTCTCTCTCTCTGTTCTCTCTTTCTCTCTGGTCTCTTTTTCTCTCTGGTCTCTTTTTCTCTCTCTGTTTTCTTGTCTCTCTCTGGCCTCATTCTCCGTTCTTTGGTCTCTCTCTCTCTCTCTCATTTCTTTTTCTGTTCTTTTATCTCTCTCTCTCTCTCTGGTCTATATCTCTGTTCTTTGGTCTCTCACTCACTGATCTCTTTCTCAGTTCTTTTCTCTCTCTCTGGTCTCTCTCTGTTCTTCTCTCTCTCTCTGGTCTCTGAATCTATTTTTCTCTTTTTTCTTTCAATAATCGCAACATTCAAAATCAAAGACACATATCGCAGTCTTGTTTCTCTCACGAGCCGATATCTGCTTCATCTATGCGGAAAAACAAAAGCAGAATCGTTCCTGGTTTTACCCAAAATCCTTCTGCTTCTGCCCTAATCCTCGGATAAGAATATTTACTTTATTATGAACGTGGCGGCCGCTCCCCCGCCTCCGACTGACTTATGTGCAGCGGCTCGTGGATAAATAATTCTTCTGGTGAAATGGAGGTGACCAGTGTGGAACCAGGAGAGGGTTTCAGACAAAGCAGGAGACACCGGGACGATTTGAGGATCAAACATAAGGACTAAGAGGACACACACTGAGACCAACCAGGACGTTATCCAGGACGTTAACCAGGACGTTATCCAGGAGAGCAGGGTCGCCCACTGCAGCGGTGGGACACATGGAAAAGGTGGTCGTCGTAAACTGTGGCTGTCTCAGGAACGGAGAGAGAACGGAGCATGAACAGAGAGATAAAAGAGAGACCAGAGAAAGAGACCAGAGAGAGAGACCAGGGAGAGAGAATCTTAAAATCAAAACTCTATTCTACCCTATAGCTCTTTGCAGCTCTACTCTACTCTACTTTACCCTACTCTACTCTACTCTACTCTACTCTACTCTACTTTACTCTACTCTACTCTGCTCTGCTCTACTCAGAATAGAATAGAGCTTTTTGGACCTAAATATCTAATCAAAGAATTGGTTCTGATTCTGATTCTGGGTTAAACACTATATCTGTGTAGTTGCAAAGCCTTGGCCTCTCTTCGTCTCTCTCTCTCTTCTCTCTCCTCTCTCCGTCTCTCTCATCTCTCTCCCCTCTCTCTCCTCTCTCCGTCTCTCTCTCTCTCCTTTCTCCTCTCTCATCTCTCTCTCCTCTCTCTCCTCTCTCCGTCTCTCTCTCCTCTCTCCGTCTCTCTCTCCTCTCTCCGTCTCTCTCTCTCTCTCTCGGTCTCTCTCTCTCTCCTCTCTCCTCTCTCCGTCTCTCTCTCTCTCCATCTCTCTCCCCTCTCTTTTTTCTCTCCTCTCCCCTCTCTCCTCTCTCCTCTCCCCTCTCTCTCCTCTCTCCTCTCCCCTCTCTCTCCTCTCTCCTCTCCCCTCTCTCTCCTCTCTCCGTCTCTCTCTCTCTCCTTTCTCCTCTCTCCGTCTCTCTCGCTCTCCTCTCTCCTCTCACGTCTCACCTCTCTCACATCTCGTCATTAAAGTTCCTTCAGAGCACGGGGGCCTCTCTCTCTCTTTGTCTCCGTCTGTAATTGATGCTGACGTCTGTGAGGATCCGGGCCCCGTGACCCTGAGCTGGGTCCAAAATGAGGCACACAGCTCCTGACTGTTGGACCCTGATGATGTCACATGTTTGTTTGTCCACCAGGCTCTGAGACCAGGCTCCTAATTACACTGACCATTACAGGAGAATACACAACAAAGCAGCTGCTCTCAAATACATCTCTGGTCTCTCTCTCTGTTATCTCTAATGCCTCTCTCATGTCTCTCTCTCTTTCTGGTCTCTCTCCCTTGTCTCTTCTCTGGTTTCTGTTTCCTCTCTGGTCTCTCTCTCGCTCTCTCTCATGTCTCTCTCTTGTCTCTCTCTCTCTGGCCTCTCTCTTGTCTCTCTCTTGTCTTTTTCTCTCTGGTCTCTCTCCCTATGGCCTCTCTCTGGTCTTTCTCTGGTCTCTTTCTCTCTAGACTCTCTTTCTCTCTGGACTCTCTTTCTCTCTGATCTCTCTGCTTCCTCTATCATGCTTAGAAAATAGTATAAATTATAAATGACAACATATATTGACAGATTCTTTTACTCTCTTCCATCCTCTCACTTCTCTCTCCTCCTTCTCTGCTCATTTCACCTGTTTTCCTATTTTGGTTATGGACGCCGCACTGTTGTCTTTACAAATCTGCTTTTTTATGGCCTCAGATTTCCCACATCTGTCTGCTCTGGTATCAACACAACGTTAGCTACTTAGCCGCTAACTAGCTGCACATGTGAGATCAGAGAAGTTTTATATCATCAGGATATTTCTGTCCAAAATTACCCCCATTTCCACCAGACTTGGCTCTATTCTACTTTACTCTTCTCTCTCTCTGGTCTCGGTTCAATCTCTCTGATCTTTCTCTGGTCTTCAGTCTCTCTCTCTCTCTGTTATCTAGTCTCGCTCTGTTCTCTCCCTGTAGTCTGTTATCTGGTTCTCTCTGGCCTCTCTCTCTGGATTCTCTCTGGTCTCTCTTTCTGGTCTCTCCCTCTGTAATCTGGTCTCTCTCTGGTCTCTCCCTAATCTTTCTCTTGTCTCTCTCTCTATTATCTGGTTCGCTCTGGTTTCTCCCTCTGTTCTCTGGTCTATCTCTGTTCTCTGGTCTCTCTTTGGTCTTTTGTCTCTATTCTCTCTATGGTCCCTCTCTCTTTCTCCTGTCTCTATCTCTGTCTTGTCTCTCTCTACTCTCAAATCTTACTCTCTCGGCTTTTTTATGACCTCAAATTTCCCATATTTGTCTGCTCTAGCATCGAAAGAACACAATGTTAGCCACTTAGCCGCTAACTCGCTGCACATGTGCGATCACAGCAGTCTTACCTCGCGCTTTATTGTGTTGTTTTTGGACGTCATCAAATCCTCCAATCAGCTGGACAAACACCACCGCACTTTTAAACCACGTCATCGCTTATTTATAGCTGCAAATTAGCCGAGGCTTCGACGCGTTGGAAAGAAAACAGTTTTAAATTGAGAAAATATATGAGAATTTTGAAAGTTATGCGAAATATTAAAGTAGGTGAATGTGTGTTCTTAGTGGGAATGTCTGAATATTATGTTATCTGTGGAAATAGTCAGGGTCATTTGGTCCCCTGATTCTAAGGCCCTGTCCACACGAAGTCAAGCTCAGGCCTAAACGCAAAAATACTTTATCAATCCAGTGTATCGTCCATACGAGGCCGGCGTTTTGGGGGGGTGTAAACGAACATTTTTGAAACTAGGTCCCAGAGTGGAAAGATTTCAAAACTCCGTATATGCCGCTCCGTGGTTACTGCCTCTCCGCAATGTATCTGAGACGCTTGCGTCATTGCCCCGCCTCTTGTTAAAGCACGCATGCGCCGCACTCAGAAAATAATGACAACAACAATGTAGCTTGTTGGTTTTGTAATCCAGTGTGACCCGAAGCAACAGTTCAACCTCATCGTCCGTCCATACTAATGTAGTACCAGCTCGCCCACTCGCCATGTTGTCTGTTTACAAAATTCCGCGCATGCCCACGGAAGTTTGGGCTTGATCCCGTCATTGCGTCACAGCGCCACCAACAGGTCTGGCATAGTTTCACAGCGTTTTCAGGCGTATTGACTACATTCATATGGACGCACACATTTACTGAGCTAACTCCGTGTTTACAAAAAAAGTTTCTGAAATTATAAGCGTTTTGTCTTCGTGTGGATATAGCCTAAATTGTAATGGAAACGCAACAAGGTAGAGTATAAAGAGAGAGACCAGAGATAGACCAGAGAGAAGTAATATAAATAATATAGATTCACTTGTCATTACTCTAACCATATGTATGTGTGTGTGTCTGTGTATGTGTGTGTGTGTGTGTCTGTGTCTGTGTGTGTGTTTGTGGTTCAGGTCGGGACATGGCAAACACGACTCTCCCTGGATACCCTCCCCATGTGCCCCCTACTGGCCAGGGCAGCTACCCCACTTCCACACTGGCTGGCATGGTCCCAGGTACAGTACGACACACACACACACACACACACAAACACAGACACACACCTTCTCAGCCATTGTTCACGTGTGGTCTCTTATATATTGACAATTTCCTGTCCGACACGGGTCCAACAACACGCCAACCCAGGATTTCAATAGTAGTAGTAGTAGTAGTAGTAGCAGTAGTAGTACCTGAAGCAGCAGTACTGAATATGTTTTTAACACTGTGCCAAAATAAAGCTAATTATTCCTTGACAAATGTTGCCGATGTCATATCTTCTCTCTCGTCTCTTTTCCCCCTCCCTCCCCCCTCCTAAATCACTCGTGCAGAATCTTCCCTCCCCCTTCCCCCCCCCCCGTTCTCCCCTTCGTCACCCCAATAACAGCTTCCTAATTCCACCGCCGCAGCTTTAAGATTTAGTGACACGACATAAGTCTCTCCCTCTGTGTCCCGTATATAAACCTGCTTTTATCACCAACATAAAAGAACGGCCATGTTGAACAAGCCGACGCCACGGTTACATCTCGACTTATCAGAGAGAGAGAGACCAGAGAGAGAGAGAGATAAACCAGGGAGAGACCAGAGAGAGAGAGAGAAAGAGAGAGAGCAAGGAGAGACCAGAGAGAGAGAGAGAGAGAGAAGGGAGAGACCAGAGAGAGAGAGAGAAAGAGAGAGAGCAAGGAGAGACCAGAGAGAGAGAGATAAACCAGGGAGAGACCAGAGAGAGAGAGCAAGAGACCAGAGAGAAGCCAGAAAGAGAGGGACCAGAGAGAGAGGGATAGACCAGGGACAGACCAGAGAGAGAGAGAGAGAGCAGGGGGAGACCAGAGAGAGAGAGGTAGACCAGAGAAAGAGAGAGAGCAAGGAGAGACCAGAGAGAGAGAGATAGACCAGGGAGAGACCAGAGAGAGCAAGAGACCAGAGAGAAGTCAGAGAGAGAGGGACCAGAGAGAGAGAGCGAGACCAGAGAGAAGCCAGAGAGAGAGGGACCAGAGAGAAGCCAGAGAGTGACCAGAGAGAGAGATCAAAAAGAGAGACCAGAGAGAGCTGGTCTTCCGTGCTTAGATTTACAGCCGTGGATCATATTGAGGTTGCGTGGTGCACAGTGTGGTTTATTAGCTTCCGCAAAAATCCACAAATGGGGCGAGGGACAGTGATCGGCCGTGCGTGACGTAAAATAGAAATAAATTAGCTGCTTGAGCGGCGGTGAGGCTAGCCCGAGTTTCTGAGGGGAAATGTACCAGGTCGCACCGCTAATTTGCTCATTTTCTAATTTATTTAGAGCGGTGTGATGGTCCAATCGAGTGTTTCTGGGAGTGGACCGACAATATAGTGTTAGCCTCGATGCAGAAGAAGCTGATTTGAACTTAAGCTAGCTGAAGTCTCTCTGGTCTCTCTCTGGACTGGACTTTCTCTGGTGTCTCTTTGGTCTCTGTCACTGGTCTCTCCCTGGTCTCTCTCTAGTCTTTTTTCTCTCTAGTCTCTGTCTGGACTCCCTCTCTGGTCTCTCCCTGGTCTTTCTCTGCTTTCTCTCTGGTCTCTCTCTCTGGTCTCTGGTCTCTCTCTCTGGTCTCTCTCTCTCTCTCTCTGGTTTCTCTCTGGTCTCTCTCTCTGGTCTCTCTCTCTGGTCTCTGGTCTCTCTCTCTCTAATCATGTATAAACTAAACGTGAGGTCTAGACATTTTGCTTCCACATAATCTCATGTTTAAGTGTGGATCAGAGAAGTGAAAGTTAGAGCTATAAGTCTATGTTTCTGACATGTTTAAATGTTGTGTGTCTGTGTTTTTCAGGCAGTGAGTTTTCGGGGAACCCCTACAGTCACCCACAGTACACCACCTACAACGAGGCCTGGAGATTCAGCAACCCGGCTTTACTAAGTGAGGACCAGGAACTGTTCATCTCCCTCTCTCTCGTCTCTCGCTTTCTCTCTGGTCTCTCTCTCTCTGGTCTCTCTCTCTCTCTGGTTTCTCTCTGGTCTCTCTGGTCTCTCTCTGGTCTCTCTCTCTCTGGTTTCTCTCTGGTCTCTCTCTCTCTGGTCTCTCTCTGGTCTCTCTCTCTCTGGTTTCTCTCTGGTCTCTCTCTGGTTTCTCTCTGGTCTCTCTCTCTCTCTCTCTGGTCTTCTGGTCTCTCTGGTCTCTCTCTGGTTTCTCTCTGGTCTCTCTCTGGTCTCTCTCTGGTCTCTCTCTCTCTCTGGTCTCTCTCTGGTCTCTCTCTGGTCTCTCTGGTCTCTCTGGTCTCTCTGGTCTCTCTCTGGTCTCTCTCTCTCTGGTTTCTCTCTGGTTTCTCTCTGGTTTCTCTCTGGTCTCTCTCTGGTCTCTCTCTGGTCTCTCTGGTCTCTCTGGTCTCTCTGGTCTCTCTGGTCTCTCTCTTGGTGTAGTTTTGGTCTGTGTGAATGAATGAATGAATGACAGAGTGTGTGTTGTGTGTGTCTGATGACAGAGTGTATGTTGTGTGCGTCTGCTGTGTGTGTTGTGGGCGTCCGCTGTGTGTGTTGTGTGTGTCTGCTGTGTGTTGTGTGCGTCTGATGTGTGTGTTGTGTGCGTCTGCTGTGTGTGTTGTGTGTGTCTGCTGTGTGTTGTGTGCGTCTGCTGTGTGTGTTGTGTGCATCTGCTGTGTGTGTTGTGTGCGTCTGCTGTGTGTGTTGTGTGCGTCTGCTGTGTGTGTTGTGTGTCTGCTGTGTGTGTTGTGTGTGTCTGCTGTGTGTTGTGTGCGTCTGCTGGGCGTGTTGTGTGCGTCTGCTATTTGTGTCTGCTGTGTGTGTTGTGTGCGTCTACTGTTTTTGTCTGCTGTGTGTGTTGTGTGTGTCTGCTATGTGCGTCTGCTGTGTGTGTTGTGTGCATCTGCTGTGTGTGTTGTGTGTGTCTGCTGTGTGTATTGTGTGCGTCTGCTGTGTGTGTGTCTGCTGTGTGTGTTGTGTGCGTCTGCTGTGTGTGTTGTGTGTGTCTGCTGTTTCAAAGTTCTTCTGTTAACTTCCAGGTTCCCCTTATTATTATAGTGCCACATCGAGAGGCTCGGCTGCCGCTGCTGCCTCTGCCTACGACCGCCACTGACCACTACCACAACCATCAACACAACCAGCGCATGCACCAGCACCGCCTGGGGATCCACATCTGACACCAGGGAGAGACCAGAAAGACACCAGAGACCAGAGGCACCAGAGACCAGAGAGGGACCAGAGACCAGAGAGACACCAGAGAGAGACCAGCGACCAGAGAGACAAGGACTGACCACAACCACCACCACAACCAGCGGGTCCAACAACACCATCTGGGGATCCACATCAGACACCAGAGAGACCAGAGAGAGAGACCAGACCCTTGAGAGACTAGGACTCACCACCGGCTGGGGATCCGTATCTGAGACCAGACACCAGAGAGAAGAGACCAGAAAGACAGTCGAGATCAGACACCTGAGAGAGAGACTAGAGAGAGACTAGAGAGAGACTAGAGAGAGACCAGAGAGAGACCAGAGAGAGACCAGAGAGAGACCAGAGAGAGACCAGAGAGAGACCAGAGGGAGACCAGAGAGAGACCAGAGTCAGAAGACAGGTGCTGAAAGCTGGGCCACAGTCAGCTTCACACGACAGGATTGGGTCTTCCTCTTCCTCTGGTTCATTTGTTGCTGGGATCTGTCTTCTCTCTGGGACTGGGAGTACAATCACTAAATGTGACTTTTTTAAACATTCTGTTCAGTCGTTGGGAGACCTAGACAGCGAGACAGTAGAGACCAGAGAGTGAAGAGAGACCAGCGAGAGACCAGGGAGAAGAGAGACCAGACTAAACCACATCTGAGACCAAGACAGAGAGAAATCAGAGAGAGAGAGACCAGAGAGAGTCCAGACAACACCCACACACCCAAGACCAAGAAGCAGGACTAAACCGGGACTTAACCTGAACGGACCGCCAAGACCATTTTTTAAGCCAAAAGAAAAAAATCAAAAACAGGAGTTTGCCATCTGAACGAAAACTGTGCAGTAACTTATTTAGAAACAAGAAAATAAAACTAAAAATAACAACTTTTTATCCACCATTTTGCTTCTAACCCAACCTCCACCAGCCGCCATTTTGGATTCACTCCCCATTATTGGTTTTGTTCGGACCAAGCATGAATCTCTCGTTCCCCTTCTGTGAGACACAATCAAACTGTACAGTGAAAATGAAGCGAGAAGCCTCCTGCAGGGGGCGCTGTGTCTCCTCGGCTGCAAACGCGAGCTGTCAGTATATTCTTCACGTGATTTGTGATTTGGTTTTTGGATATCCTCGACTGCAGACTGCTTGGCTCGTGTTTTAATATGTTCTTTTTTTGCACTATTTTCTGCCACTGGAGCAAACGTATGCAGAAAGTGTTCAAGTGTGTGTTGTGTGTCGTGTGCACTAACGTCTCTTTTGGTTAGAAAGTCTTTGGCATCAGATTTTTACACTTTTCACGAGTGCTTTTGTTGACTCCGTTGACGGAACTGATGGACAAACTGCTATTTATAGATTTTATCATTATTTTTCATACTAATTAATCGTTACAAATATATGGTATTTTTACCTGTGGGTCAAGTGAAGGTTCTAAAACTAAACTCACGAGGGACAATCGTTTGTGCGACTCTCTCTCTGGTTTCTCTGCTTTCTCTCTGTGCTCTCTCTAATCTCTCTCTCTGCTTTCGCTAGTCTCTCTCCGGTCTCTTTCCAACCTCTCTCTTGTTTGCCTCTGATCTTTCTGTCTCTAGTCTCTGTCTGATCTCTCTCTGGTCTCTCCCTGGTTTTTCACTCTCGGTCTCTCTCTAGTCTCTCTTTAGTCTCTCACTTCTCAAGTCTCTCTCTTGTCTCTCACTGGTCTCTCTCTAGTCTCTGTCTGTCTCTCTCTGATCTCTCACTGGTCTCTCTAGTCTCTCACTGGTCTCGCTCTAGTTTCACTCTCTCCGATCTCTCACAGGTCTCTCTCTAGTCTCTCTCTAATCTCTCTCTAGTCTCTCACAGGTCTCTCTCTAATCTCTCTCTAGTCTCTAACTGATCTCTCTCTAGTCTCTCTCTAATTTCTCTCTAGTCTCTCTCTAATCTCTCTCTAGTCTCTCTCTAATCTCTCTCTAGTCTCTCACTGGTCTCTCTCTAGTCTCTCTCTAATCTCTCTCGTATCTCTCTCGAGTCTCTCACTGATCTCTCTCTACTCCCTCTCTAATCTCTCTCTAGTCTCTCACTGGTCTCTCTCTAGTCTCTCTCTAATCTCTCTCTAATCTCTCTCTAGTCTCTCACTGGTCTCTCTCTACTCCCTCTCTAATCTCTCTCTAGTCTCTCACTGGTCTCTCTCTAGTCTCTCTCTGGTCTCATCTCTTGATAGTCCTCTCTCCCTGCAGTATCCATCAGTGTCTATGGGAGGTTTCTCTGTTTCAGTAAATTGCTTTAAACTCCTTCTTTTTCTCATAATGATTGTTTTTGAATGTACCGCGTTTGCCAAAGACTAACATGTGTGTTTACTGCAGCCACGTCACATTACTCCCATCTATTTATTGTTCCAGGTCAAAGTGGGCGGAGTCTATGCAAAGCAGATGCAGCTAAAAAGGGGAACTTTAATTTAATAATATTATTTCTACAACTGTGCGTTTTGTGATCTGTAAATACAGTTTGTGCTCGTCACTGGATTCACTTGTACAAATGATTAAAGCGTTGGAATCTTTTACAGAAAACCTGTGTCTGTTTCTCTGTTTAGAGCCGTCATAATGTCGTCCTCACTGGTCTCTCTCTTTGGTGTCTCTCTTTTCTTTCTGGTCTGTCTCTCTCTCTGGTCCCTTGCTCTCTGCTTATTCTGGTCTCTACCTCTATCTCTGGTCTCTCTCTTAGGTATCTCTCTGCTCTTTCTCTCTCTGGTCTCTCAATGGTCTTTCTCTGGTCTCTCTCTCTGGTCTTTCTGGTCTCTCTTTCTGCTCATTCTGGTCTCTCACTGGTCTCTATTTCTTTATCTATGGTCTCTCAATGGTCTTTCGCTGGTCTCTTTCTCTGTGTTCTTTCTGGTCACTATCTAGACTCACTGGTCTCTGCTAATTTTGGTCTCTCTATGGTCTCTTTCTGGTCTCTCACTGGTCTTTCTCTCTCTCTTGTCTCTGTCTAACAGAACTCTGTTTTCTCTGTTTGATTGAATGAGACCAAACTAAGTCCCAAACTCACTCAGGAGGATTGAGTTGAGAGAGTGTTGGATTTCCTCTTCAATCCCTGGACTTTGAACGCAGCACAAATGGAAAAATTACTTGGCCACGGACTTTAGCCTGACAGCACTTCCTTATCGGGCTTCATAGAGCTAGCGGGTTAGCAAAGCCAGATTCTGGTCTGCGTTTGGAGAAAATTTCCCCGTAATCCTTGGAACAATCCACACGAAACAAAAAACTATCACCAAGTTCCACATCTCTCCCTCTGCACAAATCAACTCTGGTCTATTTGTTTTCTCATTAAGGCGTCTGGAGGTTGAACATTAGAATCTTTGATCTCTCCGTCCCTCTCTCTGGTCTCTCTCTCTGGTCTCTCTCTGGTCTCTCTCTCTGGTCTCTCTCTGGTCTCTCTCTCTGGTCTCTCTCTGGTGTCTCTCTGGTCTCTCTCTCTGGTCTCTCTCTGGTGTCTCTCTGGTCCCTCTCTGGTGTCTCTCTCTGGTCTCTCTCTGGTGTCTCTCTTTCCCATAGAGATGTTTCATCTCCTTCTGAAACGCTCAAACTCTACAACATGATACTACCCCCACCTTTCTGCTGTTTATAATGAACGACATCTTTGCGATCCAATGATTACTTTCTCTTTTTAATCCTGACACAATTAAGAGACATTTTTCCTCATGTTGTCATCTCTGTCTTTATCAAATTATCAACAACGTTCACTTCATTTACTGCTTTTTATTTATGAGCAGTTTTTGTGAAGTCGACAACCGTGACGCCGCGTTTACCAGTGACGGTAATTAATATATGACAAGCGTTTGTGAACGAGTCTCTCCAGGAGGATCTGCTCTGTGTGGTCTTTGCAGGAGGGGGTGATGTCACATGGAGGAGGGGGTGATGTCACATGAAGGAGGGGGTGATTGACAAATTCACACTGCAACAATTTTTAGGCAGTTTGGACGAGACGTGACAAAGCGTGTCTGAAAATGGCTTTTTGTGCAGTAGTGAGAGAAAAGAGAGAGACCAGAGAGAGACCTGAGAGAGAGACCAGACAGAGACAAGAGAGAGACAAGAGAGAGAGAGACCTGAGAGCGAGACAAGCGAGAGCAGAGAGAGAGACCGGACAGAGACAAGAGAGAAAGAGAGAGGTTATGCACGAATGTTTTGGTACACAACCCGACAACAACACATCTTTCTGTTTTTCAGTTGTTACACAAAGAAAACTCCATTAAACAGTTATTTTAAACATGTTTTAGCGAAGTTAAAAATAGCACAATAACAAACTCTGAAAGCCGATAAAGGAGACATCTCTGGGAAATTCTGAGACAAATGGAATTGCAAAACACCAAACCTTAGACCTGCACCAACCGAATGAACCGCCTTAAAAAGTTTACAATGTGAGATCAGCAGGAGAGGGACCATAAACGCACACAGCTCCTCAGCAAATGGAATGATGACGCGAATAAAAAGTCAATAAAGTAAACGTGAAAAGAGAGCTGGATACGGTGAGAGAGGCCTGATCCTTGACTAATCTCTCTCTGGTCTCTTGCTGGTATCCCTCTCTGATCTCTCTATGGTCTCCCTTTCTTCTCTCTCTCTCTCTTGGGTCTCTCTCTCTCTCTTTGGTCTCCCTCTCGTTGGTCTCTCTCTGGTCTCTCCCCCTCCCTGGTGTTTCTCTGGTCTCTCTCTTTGCTCTTTCTCACCGGTTTCTCTCTCTGGTCTCTCTCTGGGTCTAAGTTTACTGTGACTTTAGCAGCCATGTTTCATTTAGACCATTTAATTTTGTCACATAAGTCCAAACAACATGTCAACCAAGTCAGCGATCAGCAGATGTTTCCTATGACAACTGTGCAAATGAGAGAGAGCAACCATGGTATGTCCCCTTTAAACACATATTATTTCAGATTCCCGGTTTAGTTGTAAACACAATTTACGAAAACGATATCCCGCCTCCACTTTGCTGTTACCCATAAGTCCTTGCGCTTGACTCCGG